CGTTTTATACGGGATCTACGGGGAATTTTAGGCCGATCCTACGGGCTCGGATACCCACATTAAATTCGGCCCTGTGCCACATCTGACCGCGTGGGGTGGTTGATAGATATCCTGGATAGACGAGGATATATCAAAGGGCAGAGTCTCGTCTTGGGAAACGGTTAATAGGTTATACGGTCAATCAGAAATAAATATTGTTTTTTCTTTCAACAGGGTGTTCGGGCTAAATTTGACAGTTTCTTTTTAAAGCGAAAGAAACTAAGTCAAAAATCAATTTAGTGGAAAAAATAGAAAAGTGGCATGTCAGGTTTATAAGAATCAAAAGACAATTCACACAAAAAAAGACCAAAACAGCACACAATCTGTCTTTATGTAAATGGTTGACAGAACAGGGATTAGAAGAGATAGTAAAAAGACAAAAATTATTAAGAGCTACAAAGGCCAGGAAACTGTGGAGAGCCATGATCAGCAACGTACTGAAGAGACATGATACATAGAAGAAAACTGAGCTTGTGTAAATGGTTGGAAGAACAGGTTTGAGGAGAGATAGCAAAAAAGACTGTTATAGCATATCTATGGACGATAATGGGTTATGTCACCATTCCCATAAATACAGTAGTGAATACTGTATGTTGGTCAGCCAGTTTGCAGTTGGAGATTCATCATCATCTGAGCTGGTTAAGCTCTCTGCCTTCCGGTCTACGTCGAAGGGTAAAGTCTTGTCTCGGGAAACAACTATCCGACTTCGTTTTATACGGAGTCTACGGGGAATTTTTGGCCGAGCCTACGGGCTAGGGAGCCGCACATTAAATTCGACCTTGTGCCACATCTGACTGCGTGGGGCAATTTGTAGATACCGTCTGCAGGTCTGCTGTTGGAGATTCATTGTGGAATTCACTTAACTCAATTCTAGCAGTTGGCTACTTTTTCTACACGTTACTGGCGAATCTTATATGTGTTGTTCTTGTCCTAAGTATTATCGTTCATTACCAACCTTCGTGTGATTATTCTCTTCAGTAACCTCCCTTAGGTTACAACACTTATTTTTGCAGTTAACTCTGTCTTGGAAGTATTGAGCCATTTTCATTATCTTGAGAATTTTTAGAGTAATGAGCTAACACTGTGTGAGTTCGTATACTGCGTGACCATTGCATTGATAATAATGTCTCATGCAGGATTTGTTTTAGTTCCATTTCCCTTGATACGCTTCTAAATGTTATTAAGAATGCGGTAGAGATTACCTATGGGGAAGGATATGTATTCTATTTCCAACAGCTACTACCTGCTTTGCTCACATCGTATAAATTCAGGATAGACGAAAGATATTTTATGAGAGGGGAAGAAGTATTAAGATTTACTGCATTAGAAATTACAGCGAAAAATATTTATTAATTAATTAATTTTAAAATAAAATTAAGTACCAATGCAACACTTGTATTTTTAAGTAATCAAGTCAAATTCTTTTGGCAAGAGATGGGATTTCATTATGGTATTGCACAATCAACTGCATGCTCCAAAACTTGTTCAGCTAGTTTATAAAATATCTTAACTTTTTATTTATTGCATGTATAATAAAAGATATAATTATTATTTTGAAAAAAAAACAAAACAAACTAAAAACAATGAAACTAAGTGCACAAAAAGGAGGCATTCATAGTTGGTGTTATTTCAATAAATATGAATCTCCTTAAGCAGACGATTGCTGTTTGTTTTTTGAAACGACCTTCACCTTTAAAATAACAATATGGTAAATACTAAAGTTTGGTATAAATTGTCACACCGGAGCTTCTATTACTTGAATGGAACGGACTTTATGTGATACCAGTTTTCAATTCCATTCTAAAAATGTAAACCTTTTCCTGTAGAGTAATATTTGCATTAAAAAAGATATTTTCAAATTAAAGTTAGGTGATAATCCTGGAACCATGATAGGCCTCCTATATCATTCTGGTATTGTTAATTGATTTTTCATTCTAAAAATCTGCTGTACGAAAATTTAATGTCTATCATTCAATACCCAGCTGGATTTCATCAAGATAATAATGTAAAGCGGCGACAATATTTGTCTAATTACCGAACAAACCTATTCGAATATGGCAAATATTATGGACAACATAAACACATGTATTGAAATTAATAATCAGTTCATATTAATTAACTACGTGTGATAAAGTAATCGAGAATAATCACCCTTGTTTTATGATTACCTCCCTTTAGAGAACGAGTTCGTTTGTAGAGGACTATAAATAGTCACTAGGCTGATATTTTTCTAAACAGAATAAAACTCTCTTAAGCCTACTCTTGCTCTTTTTTTTTTTTTTTGTTATTGCACTACGTTTAAGTCGAATGTCTTCTCCTTCTGACAAATTAAGTGTTATTCGTCGAATCAATATACGAAGTGCTAAAAGTATTAAATTTATTTCAACGATGTCAAAATAATAATTTTAATATGTTTTGTCGCTTTTTGTTGTTCTGTGTATCAGGAACAGCATTTTGTCACTAATTCTGAAAACATTTCGATTTAATAACTTCTTACTGCATTTGATCTCTGAGTAAACTTGTATAACTTGAGTAATAATAATTATTGAAATAACTTTTATTGTAGATTCAAATTAAAAAAATGTGTAATTAATAATAATCTTGATAATATTGTTGCCTCATCATTTTGTATCACGAACCGCTTTTAAAAGGAGACCAAAGGGTTTATGGACAGTCTAGTGTATACTAATAATGAGTAAGCTTTTTTCTCACAACACATAGTTGTACTAAACGGTGAGGAATTATATATATATATATATATATATATATGTTAAGAAATGGACGAGGTCCGACAATTTATTTAAAGAAGACATTTTATTTATGTTTAACGTTGTTATTTTTAGATACAAGTATTTAAGCAAATGCTCTGTTTATGATAAACAGTATTAAATAACATTATTCGGCCTGAATGTCCGTTATTTTCAAAAATATTCTAGACCCAGGATTAACCTGCATCCTATACGGAACCGCCATATTGGCGTGCCTAAATACCATGTAACTATAACAAGGTAATTTACGTTAAAACTACAATCTTCCAAATCTCGTAAAACTGCTCTTATCGAATAAAATGAATTGTTAAGGACGAGGTCGTCCATTTTATTTAACATATTTATGACGTTGTTATTTTTTATATAAGTTTAAGCATCTGATATAAACAGAGCATTAAAATAACATTTACCGGCCTGAATGTCCGAGATTTTCATGGAAGATTGTCGTTATAACAGTAAATTCGACCTTGTCTACCATAACATTTACCATGTGGTGGCTGAGTGGTCAAGGCACGCCAGCGTATATGGCGGTTCATAGTATAGGATGGAGGTTCGAATCCTATGTTGTCTATGAACGAATATTTTCTATGAAAATTTTTATTTATGTGTTCAGGCCGGTAAATGTTATTTAATACTGTTTATCATAAACAGAGCATTTGCTTAAATACTTGTATCTATAAAAATAACAACGTTAAACATAAATAAAAATGTCTTTAATAAATAAATTGTCGGACCTCGTCCATTTCTTAACATATGACGTCATTTGTTTACATTCGATACGCCAGAGCAGTTAAGGGAATGTACGAGATTCATGGAAGATTGTAGTTTATAACAGTAAATTCGACCTTGTCTACCATAAGGTTCATGGTGGCCGAGTGGTCAAGGCACGCCAGCGTATATGGTGGTTCCGTATAGGATGCAGGTTCGAATCCTGTCTATGAACGAATATTTTCTATGAAAATTTCTCGACATTCAGGCCGGTAAATGTTATTTAATACTGTTTATCATAAACAGAGCATTTGCTTAAATACTTGTATCTATAAAAATAACAACGTTAAACATAAATAAAAATGTCTTTAATATATATATATATATATATATATATATATATATATATGTGTGTGTGTGTGTGTGTGTGTGTGTGTATGTGGGTGTGTGGGTATAGATAGATAGATAAATATGTATATTTAAACATATATTGTTAAATATAACAAACAATGAATGTCTATTATGTTTGATCAGGAGCCGTTCTAAATTTCGTATAGTTGTTTTAATTTCGGGTGAAGAGAAAGGCAAAAATTGTCCAACATTTGGATATTTGTTTTTATTAAGCTGTACCTTAAGCTTTCGACTCACATGAGCCATCTTCAGAGTGGTTATATGGACAAAGATCAAATATCTTATTCTGTTATGTTAACATAGATGTAATGTATTGCGACTAGTCACAATTCATTACATTGTATCTTGGCATATAGTTCTGTTGTTAATATTTCGGTCTATTACGTGCTACGACGTGATAGAACTGCATCATGTGCTTACGACGTGCGCCTGCTATTCCACGACAGTTATCACCACATAGCAATCTATCTATCTATCTATCTATCTATCTATCTATCTATCTCATTCTGTTCATTATCTATCTATCTATCTATCTATCTATCTATCTATCTATCTCAGTGTGTTCATATCTATCTATCTATCTATCTCATTCTGTTCGTTATCTATCTATCTATCTATCTATCTATCTCATTCTGTTCATTATCTATCTATCTATCTATCTATCTATCTCAGTGTGTTCATATCTATCTATCTATCTATCTATCTCATTCTGTTCGTTATCTATCTATCTATCTATCTATCTATCTCAGTGTGTTCATATCTATCTATCTATCTATCTATCTATCTATCTATCTATCTATCTATCGTCACTTCACATCTATCTATCTATCTATAGAATTGTCAGAAAAAAAATCCGTTCCCTGTTTGATTTCTCGCTGTGCGAAACTTTATGTGAAGATAACTTCAGATTTAAAAATTGTGATTGGTGGTGGGTGGTAGCGGAGTGAGATGTTGAACATAGGAAAAAACATTGTTAATAAATGCTTTTCGTACTGATTTCATTGATACCCTTTCGTTTAAGTCAACTCTTCGATTTCCTGTTTCGAACCGTTATTCATTGCACCACCCGCATTTACTGCACTTGGTATTTCTATGTGGTCACCCATCTAGGTACAGACCAGGCTCGACGTTGCTTAACTTCGGTGATCGTACGGAAATCGGTGTTTCAACGTGATATGGCTGTAAGCCCATTACACCACCCGTACATCCAAACTTACAACAACTGTTATTTCTAAGCGATCACCCATCTAGATACTGGCCAGGCTCGACGTTGCTTAACTTCAATGATTGTACGAGAACTGGCGTTTTAATATGATATGGCTGTACGCCCTTTGCGTGTCTGAGGGTTGGATGAATATATAGAGAAAAACAAATCTTGCAATGCCTGAAGAGATTGAATTTGCTGGTGGCTTAAAAAATAAATTAAAAGAAATAAAATCCATTATTTTATTTTTTTTTTTTTACAGAAATTGCTTTGTTTACGTTCCGGATACGAAACTGAGCAAACATGGCTTTTTATTATGAGGCTCTTCTTAGACGAACGGTTAAAACACGTTTCAAGTCGAAGGAAAAAAAATATTTCACGAATGCGTCGATGTTTCCTGGGATTTTATTTTCCTTTTGTCTGTGCCTCATAAAAAAAAAATCCGTTGGAGTAAATTATTTTTGTATTTCATCTTCCATTTCACATTTGTATCTGAAAACAAGCGGGGGAATCTGCGGCTAAAAATAAACAACTGGAACCGAATCAAAATAAAAGAAGGGCACTTTTTGGATTTCGGAATGCTTAAATGTCTTCCACACGAATCTAGGTTTCCTCACATCAAGTTTAAATATAAACAACGCTAGAATTCTTTTGCTTTTTTTTTTTTTTTTTTACATACATCTACCTGTACATGCTAATAATAAAGTAACAACCAATATTAAATATCTTTCATCGGTATTTTAAAGTGTGTATAAAATATTTAAGATGGGCAAAATGTAAGAATATATATAAATATTTGATACAGTTTTCCGTATAAATATTGCTGCCACATATGGTCCGGTGGCCCTGCTATTTACCTTGAGCTCCTTGATAAGATCCAAAGAAGAATCAGCAATATTATTAGTCCTGATCTGGTGGCTCGGCTTCAGTCACTTTCCCACAACCGTAAGGTTGCCTCTCTCCACCTTTTCTATAAATACTTTCATGTTAATTGTTCAGATCAGCTCTTCACTATGGTACCTAGACATTTTTGAATTTAAGTCGAGATCTCATCAATTTACAGTTAAGCTGGCATAAATTCTATGCTAACAGTTTCTTTTCTCGCACTTCTCGCTTGCGGAACTCTCTTCCGATTCCATGCCTCCAGCCAAATTTGATCTTCAAAAATTTAAATGCAATGTCAATCGCTATCTACTGTCCTTCTGATTACACTTTTCTCTTCCTGCTCATTATTAATGTTTCTGTCCCTAATTCATTCACACACTGTAACCACTTGTGTCTTAGTGGCTTTATTGCCTTACATGGAGTGATACCAAATACCCCCCCCTCTAAAAAAAAAAAAAAAAACATTGGCTAGTCTATCCACACTTTTAATTCAGGCATACATCACGTTTGTTATGTGAGATTTTTTGGGGTGGGGGGGATCATCGTTTGGAGTTGAGAAGGTGTCGTGTCATGTTAAACAAAACTACAAGTGGTGAATTGGTTAAGAAAATAGACAAACAATAGAATGGAACTGTCGGGAACTTTTTGTATGAAGAATGCTCGAAGATAGTTCATAAAAGAAACTGTAAATTCAGGGAATGTTCTCATGATAATCCCTGTAAATATTTTGTACTTACTTTCTTAGTGGTTTAAAGAGTGAGTGAGGCGTCTTTTCTAAGCCATGTGCTTCTTTTCCACTAAGCTTCCCAACCCGGAAATGTATGAAAGAGAGATAGCCTCTTGGAATTCGCATTACGCATGCTCCCATTTCTTTACGCAGGCCCGGAAGCAGAAAAAAAATCAGATGATAGAGATTTCAACATATGTGTCCCAGGCAAAAAAGTGTAAAGTCTGCTATACATTATTAGAAAATTAGGAAAATTTAAACAAGCCGACCTTGTCGCTTGAATTGAATTTTGATGAATTTCTTTTAAATATACTTTATTAGCAGCCATACCCAGCTTGTTGATCAGAAAAAGCGTTCAATTAGAATGGAGCAAAAACAGCATCATGTTTAGATGTAACAGAGTCTATCTTCTTCAATTACTTTAAAGTACTTTCATTAAAAAAGATTTTGAATTAATGCAGTTACTGATATAACAGAAGTCGTCTGTATTTATTCAATTGAAGTAAGCCGAGGAGATGAAGGAGTAAAACAGGCAACATGAAGATGCACTTCAGACCACAATTATTTTGCAGTTTTTGAAATTCAATTTGTCAATGTGCTACCGAGGATGTAAAAGAGGATATATTTATAAAGCAATTGTTAAATTTGATGAAAATTGGTTGAAAGATCAACGAAAAATAAAAAATAAACCAGTAAAAATCACCATTTTTTATTAAACAAGCCTCCAAAGGCCATGGCGTACATGAAAGAGAAAAGTTTTTAAAAAATAAAACAAAAAGACAGTTAAATATTTTCCAAACATATAATAGATAACCGGGGCGGTGTAATGGTTAACAAGCTTGTCTTACTAGAATAATTACGATTGAGTAGTGAGTTTGATCCTCACTGGGTGCCCCCTACTTTCGGCCTTGTGCCACATCTAAGCTACGCTTGGAAAATCAGTATAATAGGGAACTGAAAGGCAAAAATCTAAAATATTTGAATGAAAACTTGGGTTCAGTACTGGGTCCGACATTTAGCAATTTCTACATGTCGAACCTCGAAAATAAGATATTTACAGATTTTAAAAAAATCATCCATCTACCTAAGATACGTTGATGATATCCTGATGTTAGTTAAAAATACAGATGAAATACTTTAACTTCAAAAACGTTTCCAAAATAATTCTGTCCTTAAATTCACATATGAACTCAATACTAATAATAAAATCCCCTTCCTTGACATATTGATAAACACAAATAATAACAAATTTACTATTTCGCCATACAAAAACCTACAAGCATAAATTCATGTACATTTAACTACAAGAGCAAATGCCCATATTACTACAAAATAGCAATTATAAAGAATCTAATACATCGTGCAGAAACTAATTCATCCACAAAACAGATTTTTTACAGTGAATTAAAGAATATAAAACAAACACTTATTAATAATAGCTTTCCAAACTATATAGTTGATGAACAAATAAGATGCTTTCTTAAAAATCTCAATACTAAGCAAATTGTACATAATACTGCTTCTGCTAATCTCAGACATATTAATCTCCTATATTGTAATCAAATGCATACTAATTATAAACAAGAAAATATACTAAAAAAAGTAAATACTAATATATCTACAACAGATCCTAGCAAAAAAATTAAGTTAATCATATATTACACTAAATCTAGTATATCCAACTCAATTATTCGCAATGATTCTTTTCCCCCGGTTAGCGATTTGCAAAAAACCAACATAGTTTGTAAATTCAAGTGTCCTTTGGGAGAGTGTATCTCGAACGAATTAAATAATATTTATGTTGGTCACACAACAAACTTGCTTTCACGTCGCTTGTCACTACATTTGAATGATAACTCTAACATTTTTAGGCATTTAAAACAACATACCTGGCCGCATACACAATTCCGGAAAATCCTCGTTAAAAACACAACTATACTTAAACATGAAAACAATAAACAAAAACTAAAAATTCTTGAAGCTATATACATAAAACAGTTGAAACCTAACCTGAACAAAATGAACTATGAAATCTCCACAAATACTCTTAAATGCTTATAATTGATAACATCATCACTGTCTTGTCCGTGTACTGGTTAATATATTGTAATGTAATTGTCATCTTTGATAATGGCTTATGTAAGCCAAAAGCTTAGATTGGATTAAAAAATATGTATCAATATTGTGATTTTCTTTCTTCGTTTAATGATAATGTTATTAAAGTTATCAGACGTTATGAAAAAAATTTACATAAAATAAATAGACAACACTTGTCTATATTATTTAATGAAACATGTATCAATATATATATATATATATATATATATATATATATATATATTAAAAATGGTGTATTGCTGGCATTCCAGATTTGAATGAGTTCAAAATCTTTTAGAGACTTATTTTCAGTTCTTTACCACAGGCAAAACATCGCGTATCTCTTGCCCCACTCCCTTGTCCTACAGGACGTGTAGGCTACATTCATAGAGCTGAACTACCCCTATTTACTCAGGCACCTTTCTTCCCTAGATTTACTGCATTGTGGGACGGACTCCCGAGATGATGCTTCCCTGGCCACTTTTCAAGTCTGGAATCAACCGTTGTCTATCCTCCATATCCTCAAAATATGATTTTATTTCCGCCCCTATTCACAACAGCCTAATTCAGTGACTTTCTACCTTGAGTGGCTCTTAGGCCTTGTATTGGATAAACAATTAATTTGATTCTTAGCAAGACTCTTATTTTCGAGAATATTTCTCCGAAGCTATGAAAGACTTTGAACTGATCATCAAAGCATAAACCTCGCGGTCTCTCTTCTAATAGTCTACTAATGCGTGATTAAGTTTGTGGAGCTGGTATTTTTACGACTATGCCTTGTTTATGTACACACATGTGGATACACGCGCATGAAAGCGAAAAGAGACTATATATATATATATATATATATATATATATATATATATATAGAGAGAGAGAGAGAGAGAGAGATAGGGAGAGAGGGAAGAGAGAGAAACCCGATGAGAGACAAAAAGAAGGAACTCGAGGAGAAGGCACTGGGGGTTTGGGGAGAGAGAGAGAGAAAAGGAAAGAGAGAACGGTGGAGAGAGAAAGAAAAAAATCGGGAAGAAGGTACTGGCGTATTGGGTCAGGTAAGGGGGGATAGACAGATAGAGAGGGAGAGAGCGGAGGGGTCGAGAGAAAGAGATGGAAGGTATTAGTGGGTTGGGCCAGGAATGATTCTGAGCGAAGATGATTTGGCGGAACTTTTAGCGAAACGAGCGTCAACGAACCGGAAGCGAAAATATTTAGACCGGAATTGATTCTTCACAGGTGTCTGCGTTGGAAACGTGAAAAACCACAGCAATAAAA